AAACCGAAACAAGGGGCGACACATCCTGACATAAGGTTTATCAGACAGAAGCAAAGCCCGGTGATCCGACCCTTGATCCGTGAAATGCTTCACAAGCGTATCGGGAAAAGTATCCATCCAGGTTTGAGAGCAAAGGGCCCTGTCCAGCCGCTCCCGAATACACGCCAGCCCCATCCGTTTGTTGGTCCAGGTGAATTGATCACCCTGGTTCCCAGGGTCATGCAGTCCAATATCCTGAATCATATTTCTGAGGTCCATAGATTGGGTAGCATTCCAAAGATTGCCACCCTCTTTCTCTCCAGCATTTAGGGTAACATTCATGTCTCCAATGATCACATAAGGGAGAATTAGGCTGGCACAAATCTCACGAATCTGATTCAATTGAGTTGCACGCAAAACAGTATTACGACTCAAGTAAACACAAAGCACCACATAAGACGAACCATTTTCATTAATCCTCGAACAAATACAAAAACTAGAATGAAAAAACACCGAAGTATCGACTCCGGGGGACACAGCTAGAACAAGACCACCAGCCCCATTCATGGCATCAACAAAAAAACAATCCGACGACTCAAAACCTAAACCCCGCAAACGCCGGGTCACTACTTTCCGGGACGACCTTGTCTCTGAAAAGAAAACAAGGTCCGGATTATTCGAACGAACCAAACCAACTGCCGTTTGGAATGTGAGGGATGGTCCAATTCCTCTCACATTCCAGGCTAGAATCTTCATTTATCATCTTGGGGACACTCACGACTGGCTTCCTCCGCCGAGTCAGTAATCTCCTGCTCTTCCACAAACTGCTTCTTAGGTGTGGGACTTGCCTCAAAACCCCCTTCCAGCTCATTCAGAGAGCGCTTACGAGTCCCAGTCTCCAAATTAGACCCGTACTCGTTGAGATTAGAGGTAATCCCATCCTCCACCACTTGCACTAAATTCTTTCCATCATTAATACTCATACCAGCTTCAAAGGCCGCAACCACCTGACGAATTTGTCCCGGAAGAGCCTGGCTCTGCAGTTTCGCTGGTGTGGTACGAGCCTTGATCACAAAACGCTGCTCATCCTCCTCCGAAGACGACCCTTTGGGGGAAGGCATCCCTTCAGTCTTAGTGGGCTCCTCCGCCAAGTTGGACTCCACCTGGGCCCCCGGAATTTGATCTTGAGCTGGCGCCTGATCCGCCGAGTTGGCCGCCATTCCCGATCCAGCTTCCCTGCCCAAAGGAGATCGGGCCAGGCCCTTTTTCTTTCGGGCCACCCCAGCAAGTGCACTAGGCTTGACCGATTCAGTCTTCTTTTTATGGGCTGCTCCCTTGCGGGCTGAAGAACCCTTAGGCCCAACCTCTTTCTTGATCAGCCTTTTCCCCTTCTTCCTTGTCTCTCCCACCATCACTGTATCCTCCGTCGACCTCACAGGGATGGGAGGCTCATCCTCCCAATCCTCAATAATTAACCTCCGCCGACGAGCGTCTCCCGGCGCAATACTAGTCGCCTGCGCAGCTCCGCCAGCGTGGCACGCCCCAGCAACAGGGATCTCCGTGTGGAGCTTGTAATCACCACCTCTCCTTCCCCGATAGCGACCTGGGGATCCACCATCGCCATCTGTAGATGGCATCTCCCGCTCCCTCATACTCTCCGCGGGTCGGCCGCCAATCAGGTCGTCCGAGCTAGCAGCAGGCGAGGAGGTCGGGGTGCGAGCATGGCCCAATCTTATCACCGGTGAGCGCGACATTTTGAAGCCCCGAGGACTCAATCGGCGCTGCCCCACCTTCTGCACCGAGGGTTCGTCCGCCGCCACTTGCTTCGATTGCCTAGGAGGCTGATTTTGGTACCTACCTCCTTGCTCTCTCTCTGAGTTCCAGCTCCCAATTTTACAGGACCTTGCTGCCGATAGTCACGGTTGACCCAGACCGATTTCCCACCTCGAGCAAACGGCTGGGGTTGATCGTCAGCATCATAAATCCGAGTCCCCAATTTCTTGGTAATCATATGGGGTCCATAGTTCTCCATCCGAGCTGGAGGCTCGAATGTGCAGGACCGGCTTGAGTGACCCACTCGGCCACAGTGGAAGCAAAAGCTCGGAAGATGTTCGTACTTGAGGCTAACCCAGAAACGACCTGTGTCATCATTTGACGCAAGGATCTGGGATCGGAGAGGTCTGGAGAAGTCGATGAGCGCCTTCACCTTCACGAACCAGCAGCCCGAGTCTTGGCAGGCAAAGACGCCTGATTCCAAGACTTTCCCGATCGTGGTTTGCACCATTTTTCTTCCAAACTGTTGAGTGCAACAGTCTTCTCTGACATCCCACAGCTGGACACGGAAAGGAGCAATCGCGAGCTCATCATACATCTGTTTCGTGATGACCGGTGTCCATGCCCGAAGATGGATGATTCTGTCATTGATCACCCATGGAGACCGTTTGAGGATCCAAGTCTTAGCCTCCTCATTTGGTAACATGAATTCAATGAGGCCATGCTTAGCCTGGACAACTCGGATGCGCCCCTGAATCAACCACGGAGCGATCACCGATTCCCTGAGTTCAGTGGTAGAGATTCTGTTCTCCGTGAAAATTCGGCCAAGGAGAGAGTGAGCAGTGCGATATCTTGTCGACTGCACCTCCTCCATTGAGAACTGAACTACTTGATCATTCGAGAAGTGAGCCATGGTGGTGACCTGCGAAGAAGAGGAGTCAGAAATCATGGTAAGATCCTTCTGCAAATCATTTATCAGCTCAGGCTCATACGAGCCTTTCGAAGATGGACATCCCAGCTCACTAGAGAGGGAGTCAGGAACAGCGGGAGGTCCTTTTCTCTGCTGTTTGGCGAGAGTACAAGAACGAATACACATTCCCTGAACAGGAAACAAACCCATACCTGTGCTGAGGGTGCGCCTAGGAGAAGAATGAGCAGCCTCTTTTCTCGTCAATGACTGATTTCTCGCGGAGGAAGTGAGATTATTCGGCCAAAGCAGGAGGCTTTTATAGTGGAAGTCAATTCTTCCCCCAAGGATTTGCTTACACTTGCGGGTACCAGGGGTTTGAGTTTGCCTCAAAGAGGGACTCTTACTTACCCCGAAGGTTGTTGTAATTGATTGTTGGAATATCCCAACGGATTAGGGAGAAGATTTTTTGCCACAATATCCCCAACTGTTTTCCGCCGAAGCAGGGAATCATTTCGGACCTGATCAGCAGACCAGTGATGCTCACCGGCGGTGATGATCGGCGATTGCAGGGCAATCTCCCCTGACTGAAGTTCCACACAATCTGGTTCAGCGATCAATCGGACTGCCGTGGTTGTGAACTGGGCCTGCATTGGCCTAACATCTTTGGAGATATTGTATGGATCAGGAAATTTTCCGTTTTCGGAACTTATCGTATTCAACAATTCCGCCGGTTGGTTCATAGCTTCCGGCTCCCAATCATCCAAGGAAGGGATGACAAATCTCCAAACTGCTATCTTCGATGGCTTTTTTCGTTTCATGTTTTTTAGAATCATGTTCTCTGCCAGGACAAGCCCAAGCTTCCTCTTTCTATGACCATCCTTTGAATGGTCCTGTCTTATAGATGACAGATCGCCTCTGAAATGGTCGCCTCCTCGTCGTTGCCGTGGAGTTCTGACCGGCGGATCCATCATCCCCTTTCCACCTATTCCTTTTTGGTAAGAGCTCTGTAGATCACCAGTCGCCCATACACCAGCGAGGCCCTGATTCCGAAGGCAGCGTAGGAAGAGAGCAGAGATCAAGGAGACCAGGAAGTGACCAAACGATCTCCCCCATCGGAGGAGAGAATGGAGAGCTTCCTGCATTTTTTTTTTGTTATTCCTAAAGATCTTCTGTGGACCCAACGTATGTATATTAATCTAACTGCATGCATCTGTATATTAATCTACTAGCTCACCAGTCACAAATCTGTCCATAGGAATTAGTAATACTAATAATTATCTCGAAAGTCGCCGCACACGATCCGTCACAATTGATATTTTTTGGAGAGGCCATGGCTAAGGTGAGATAGAGGAGGGCTCGGCGGCTTCTCTAAAAGCCATGATAGAGGTCATAAATGGGGCAGTCGCCCTCCAAATGTTCATAAATGGACACATTCAGAGCATACTGTATTCGTACTCTACATGACAACTAGTTTTTGTTTGGTTATTTTATAATTCGTTATAGTATTCTAATTGTTATTATTATTATTATTATTATTATTATTATTTATGTTTGTTAAGGTAATATATATGGAATTGTAAATCCCACTTACCTTATTTCAGGTATTGTTTCATACTTTTATACCTTTTGTTTATTTATGAACATTTTAATTTTATTAACTGAGCTCTTTGTAGATTGTTCTTTATTGATTTATAATTTTTTTTTATCGAACTCGCCCTTTAAGATTATAAACATAAGAGTTATTCATTCTTTAGCACACAATTGTGATAAAAAAGTTGAAAAATTTACAGCAACAAAAGAAGAAGTTAGAATAAGAAAATATGCTTCAATTAATAAAAAAAAAGCGAATAGCTTTTTATTTTATCTCTCTTCTCATATGTCGGTATACGAGGATCTTACCATTACCAAAAAGTGCTTCTTTGTTTTCGTATGCTCTCTCACTTGCGGCTGATTATAGTGTATATAATTTATAAATATATATATGAACAATATAATAAAAATTTTCATATATTCATGTTAAATTGAACCAAAACAACCGGATCATTAACACTCAACCTACTTGCTTGACGGACTAAACCGGATTTACAACCTTGATTTGAATTAGGTATGAACAAAACTCGAACCACCTGAGCCATGTACCCTAATTTGAATAGACAAAGCAAAGTATTCAAAATTCAAATATTACACAGGCCCGGCCCAGCCCAGCCGAGCCCATGAATAGAAGGCCATACTAGAAGGGATGGATCCTAATCTGGTTAGGAGAATGCAAACCCAATCCGTAAGAAACAAGAGCACCAGTCATAGTTTAAATCGAGATCTAGGATTTGGATCTCGACACCTCGTCCTCTGTCTTCTGATACAACTCATTTCCTTTATCGTTAGACAGCCGGTGGGCGGTGGCTTATCTTGTTTCAATCAATCCGTCCTCTGTTTCTCTGCCACCAAATCCATGGAGACCCGTAAAAAACGACGAATCCGTCCACGAGCAAATCCTCCCATCAGCAAGCTTGGAGACGATGCCCTGATAGAAATTCTGATTCGCCTCCCCAACCCTCGATACGCCTGCCGCTGCAAATCTGTTTGCAAGCGCTGGAGGTCCCTGATGTCGAGCCCCGCCTTCAATCGCGGTTTCGCTTCTCACTACCAGGATATGACGATCGTGAAGAAACTACCGCCACCTCCGCCTATTCCCTCTGACGACCCGCTTTCGAAATCATCGATCATCATGAGCTTCCTTCCTCAAGATCCTTTGGACAATTGATCAGAACTCAGAGTCCTGGATTGCTTCAAGGATTTGCTTTTATGCGGGTTTTGGGATTGCTTGACTACTCATACAGAAATGGTCAGAACGTTTTTGGTTTGCAATCCGTTTACGAAGCAATGGTTAGCACTTCCTGTAGCTCCAGACAAGCCCAAGGGTTGTCGTTGGACGGTCTCCAGGTTAGTTTGTGAACCCCGCATTTGTTTTGATCTTGATCTAGGACCAGAAGGAGGAAGCGATGAGGACCAAAGTTCATTCCTTGTTTATTCGGAGTATCGGTTCCGGGTGTTGTCTATCTATCAAGATAGGACATCAATCAAACTCGACATGTTTTGTTCCGAGTCTGGGGAGTGGACCAAAGAAGCTCTTATTCTTGATGGGTATCGCTTACTCGATTACAAAAATGTATGGTCCTGCAATGGGGAGTTGTTTTGGTCTTGCGTTAAGGATGAAGAAGGGGATGATCCATTGCTTGCTTCGCTTAATGCTTTTTGCCTTGATACGCCTATTGATATTTATGCTTGTCCGCTCTTCGAGAAGACAAAGCAGTGGGATCTTTCAATCTCACAGGGTGCTCTGCACGTAATTTTGCGCGAAATGCAAACTGAAACTGTAAGCGTTTGGAGACGGGAAGAAGATGGCAGGTCATGGACGATGCAATGTGAAGGGTCGTTGAAGACGGGTACATCATCATCAATGTCTTACTTTGATCTCAAATACTATTCTATACTTAATACTCATCCAGAGAGGCCAGAAGTTGTTTACTTTACTTATCAACCTCCTTATATCCTAGATGGAGCTACCTTGTCCTACGATCTGAAGCGGGGAGAATTAGAGTACGTCAATTTTATAATGCTATATACACCTCATTGGACGGTGTTCCAACCTAGGGTCTCCTGCTGGCCTACTCCAATTCCAAGGTACGAGGAATTGCGAGGTATCTACAATGGGAAAATGAGCTGGTTCAGAGTACCAAGCAACCACAACTCTCTCGATACTGCTCATCGAAACAAGTACACAAGAAAGAGGGACTCTGGGGTTGGTTTGATTGCTGAACCGATAGAGGAATGCCAATCCAGTAACCACGGTGTGGCAAGTCCTTGGGTACTGCTCACCGAAACAAGTGCAAAAGATCAGCAAGAAAGCAGGGCTTTGGGGTTGGTTCGATAGACGAATGGCAATCACACAACCATGGAATCGATCAATTATACCCAGGCAGACGTTGCTTGCGAATCAAGTAGGATGATTGGTATTAGAAGACATGTGAGTTGAAGGTGGGAAATGAGACTACGCGTTGATCAATTGGTTTTGAGGGTGTTGGTTCATGCACTACAGGCTATGATGAAGAACTGTGTTTTTGGTGTTTGCGATTGAGAGAAGAAGGAGATGATGATCAGAAAGCAAGAGTGCTGTTTCCTTAGCAATTGTTGGATGGTAGAAGTGGCAACTGCTATCTAATTGTGGCATGGTGATGATTGTATTGTTTTTGTTTAAGATGGTTTTCATTTCAGATGATAATGTTATCCGTACAATGTGAAGTAGTTGCGGCTCTAGTCAATCCTCCAGCATTACCATTCCCACCGGCAGTAGATGTTAATTAGCACTGGGGTTGAAAGTCGTGCGACGATAATTTATTTATGGTTTATTTATTGTATTGTTGGTAATTTAATCTCATGTACGATATATGATTTCCTTATCGCTCTTCAAATAAGGATTCCATTTGACAAATACACTCAGCTTAGCTTTGTGTTATGTTAGATGATGAATCCGTAGGAAATCTGTTTGCTTCCAACCTCCCTTCTTCACTTTTAGCGGCGACACTGATCTATGGTTTCTTTCTGGTCGAGAGACTAGCCACTGCCACTCGACTAGAGGAACTGGGAAACTAATAGAGGACAGATGCTTACACATTCAGCCTTTACTTGACAGCTGCTATGATCACTCTGCCTTTGATTATGCTACATTTAGCTGGTGTACATGCGATCAGTTGACAAGAAACTCGTCTTTCTAACATAACCAGAAGTCTCTGATACAAGGCTTTCGGAACGTTCAGCAGTTTTACAGTTCTTGTGATCCTACTCAACTCGGATAACAAAGATTATACGGAAAAGAGGAAAGAGTGGGAAAGAAGAAGAAACAAAAAGAGCAAGTTTTGATGCTAACAATTCTCCCAACAGGATTTTGATAATACAGCGCAACTGCTCTAGTTACTACATGCAGATTCAAGATGGGTCAGCTGTTTTCAGTACTAAACTGCACAACACAGATCCTGTATAAGTGCTTAAGGGAGGGGGCAATTATGAAGAATTTGGAAGAACTTGAAGCCATGAGTCATGGATCATCATGCTGTTTCCGTCCTCCACAGCATACCCCAACACATACCTCAACAAAATGGCAGGCTAAACCAGATTCGACCTTCACTCTTCGACAAGAGGGTAGTGGTCGCCAAGCCAATGGTTCGTTACTCCTCTCAACTTGTCCAGATTGATGGTTGGCAACGGTTGCATTCACCATCGATGGGTGAGTAACATAGCTGGTAGACAACTTTGAGCAATGGCAATCCTTCCACCAAAAGATATGGTCTTGGCCTTCCAGCATTCGAATTCTCCTGCGAAACTTATCAATAACTGGATTCTAAATCGATTGAGAAGACGGTCAGCATTCGAATGGTAATCCAAGATAGGTGGCAGGGAAATTCCCATCCCACGACCCATCATCCTTGAGAAATTTTGCAATAAGATGGCTGCAATTGATGTTTGATTAAATTAAATAGAGGCTGATAAAATGATTTATACATTATAGTAGTAACTCGAGAGCTTGCATTCATTGGCATGATTCAGAATCATAAAATGAGTCCCAAAATGAAACAAAAGAAAGCAAAAGTGTGGAGAGAGATGTAGATTATTTAAAGCATATTGATATATTTAGTTTTTTCAATGATTGTGAAATCACACCGGAGATTGTAAAGTTAAGTTAATAGTAGGGTATTCCTTTTTCTTTTTTGGTAACAAAACAGACACCAATAGTGTCACTAATTAGTCATTAAACGTTCTTGAGATAAACCCATTACATCATCCATTAGTCAATAGCACAGATCTGGATCACACAGGTCAATCCGATGTGTGCCAAAATGTAGATAGTGTCCTTTCTTGGCAAGGAAGTCTGCAGCAAAATTACACTCCCTATGTGCGGAAAATGGTGACTTCCCATTCAAGGGATAAGAGGCGATTAATCTCTAGGGCTAATAACTCATGTTTGTGCTCAATATCATGTCTCTTTCGATTGATAATAATACCTGTTGTTGAATCTAGGCAGAGGCAGACTCGTCTAAACCCTTTCTTCCACGGAGTAGATAGCCCAACTTCAACAGCTTTCAATTCTGCTCCGGTGATGGAACAGGATCCCAGGTTGATGGAGAAGGCATCGTGGCTAGGGATGGCAATGAGCAGTGTTGGGTTGGCTTTCCCCAAATTCAAATTCATGAGTATATCCATTAAAAAAAAATTAAAGGTAAAACTCATTGGGCTTGAAAAGCTCAAACCCAACCGAACCCGCTGGATATCCGCGGGTTCATGAATACCCATGAGTTTTTGGTATAAAAATGTATAATAAAAGTTAATGTCAAAATAAAGTCTAATATCAATTTTTTCATAAAAATTATCCATACAAAAACACAAATCTAGAGCACGCAAACCACAAATTATAAATACAAATTGTTCAACTTAAAAATAAAGATCTATAAACAATATGATTAATTGAAAGCTTTTTCCTCATTGTCAACTAAGTTTCTTCACTCTCCACTCCATAATATTAACTTCATTCTACACAATTAGAAAGAACAAATTAGACATGTCTCCACAAACATAAAGAAAATTAGTTGCTTAAGGAAGATATATTGGTTAGAATATTAAATATATTGGGAAAACTAATTATATGGGTGTGGGTGGGTATACCTAAACTCAAACCCAACTCAACTCGATGACATTGTAACGGGTTTAAACCCAAACCTGGCCCAAAACCCGTCAACACGGGTTTTACCCGCGTTGACCGGGTTGGGTCGGGTAGGGTGCCCATGAATTCAGGTTTTGTTGTCATCCCTAATCGTGGCATCTACTCCAATGGTCTCTGATCAACACTCCTTCTACTGCTTTATCAGCACTCTGATGATCTTCATCCAACTTCCTTGCAGTGGAGTCCATCCCAACATCTGATTTTCCTTTCGTTTTGGCTCCCCTACATTTATCGTAGCGTTTAACACTTGGGATTGTCGTACAATGTTAAAAAAAGCTGAGATCCTGTGCATGAAGCTCTGTTCGTTAAAAGTTTTCTCATGTTGCTTCCTCATTTCTTTGTTTACAGATTTGCCAAAGGGTTATACCAAAGTCATAATTCCTTTTTCTTCATTCTTGATGTTCATGATGAGCCATTCTCCTACCCTGCTTCCCTTGTGTATAGTTTCACAAAGAAATCTCTAGCCATCAACCGTAGCATCTCCGCGTTGATAATCCATTGGTTGGTATCCTTTGATCTTGTTTCTCTTCCTCTGATGATCGTGCTTGTATGGAAGAATCTCATGTTATGGTCTCCTTGATTGATCCATTTTGCTATGAGTTTCTGAAGCCACAAGACTTCTTCTTGCCAAAGTATCTCCTCCAGTTTTTCCTGCGTTTTCTGCTCAACAAGGAGAGATTGATGACTAGGCTTCCTTTCATTCCTCGATTACAGTGAAGATAGACCTACGGTCAAACTTAATCTTGGTAAGATGGTAGTTCACTGTTTCAGGGAACCACTGTTGCCAAGTCACATTGCACATGCTTCTATCCAATCTTTCTTGATTCTTGATTTGCTTGTGAACCAAGTAAAGTTGTACTTGTTGTGAGCCTGTGACGACGATGAACTGTACTGCACCCCTCCAAAATTGATGTATGCCTCTATAAGTAGCTTGTACAAGGTATTTTTTTATAGAAAGTTCCTGAATTTTTATTAATGGGCTAAAATTTAATTTTTTAAAATTTCCACCTCATTTTCAACTACTAACTATTAAAAAATAAAAATGAACTTTTAGTCATGGTAAATCTGACATCGCTTTCCATGGTCGCCGGAGCAGTCGTACTTGCCGTCGGAGACCCCGGACGGACTGACCAAGTACCGAGAGGAGGAGCTGAAACTACTCCGAGGAAATGGTTAGGGACAACGTTAGAAAGGAGAACGGATAATTGATTATGACGTCTACGGCGAACTCGAAAACCCGGACGGCAATCCGGATCTCGCGCAACCCGTCCTCGGTGGCAAAGACCACCCTTATCCTCGCCGGGTCCGCACCGGCCGTCCCCGACCAGAATCTGGTACGTATCTTACCGTTCTCTGGATCCAAAATATGCTACCCCTCGCAATGGGGAGCTCCAATTTCTACGTGCCGAGCAACGAGGAGTTCTCACAGGTGAAGAGATCGTCGTTTCACGTCACTGTGTCGAGGGAGCTCAGCGCGGTTGTCCCGGCAACAGATACTTTCTTAATTGATTGGGATTTGGGGTTCCCACAATTGACCACTCTTTCTGCCTCCACTTCTCCCAATTTCCCTTTCTGCAAACGCAAACTCGTCGGTGAGAAATTCTTCTACGTAGGCTACGACGACACCAAGGGGAAGATGAATCAGACTCTCGAGTTGCGCTTCCATCGAGATTCCGACGGTCACAGCACACATAAAGCCTCGATTGTTGTCGGCCATTACGTTTACACTGATCTCGCAGGTAAAGGAGTGAGCGGCGACTGAGATTTCGCGGGTGAAGGAGTGAGTGGCGAAGGTTAGGGATTTGGAAGAGTTGGCGGCGATTTTGCCTACGAAAGAGTGAATAACGACTGCAAGCTGAGAGGAGAGAGAGGTGAATCGGAGAGTGCTCGTTCATTCTTCACCGGTTAGGGGATGCGACGTTGAGAAGAAAGCTTGAGAGGCGGCGGTGGGGACTTGCAGCGAAGGACTTTGTTGTTATAAAAATTAATTATATTTTTAATAGTTGAAAATGAGGTGGAAATTTTAAAAAACTAAATGTTTTTTATTTTTTTAATTGCCATGTCACATATTTAACGGTCAACCATAAGAGTTGACTGCCACATAAGCAAAAGTTAACAGAGTTGGACGGAGAGTGACCAAACTTGGAACATTTAACCAATTTTAGTGACCACGAATGGAATTAAATATTTTTAGTGACCAAATGTGAACGTTTTTAATAATCTCAGTGACCAACCTTGCAATTAACCCTTTTCTTTTCAATAAGCCTTTTTTGGAAATACCTTTTACAATGATCAAACAGAAAGGCTAAGAGCAACGTAGTTAAAACAATCTCTAGTTTTTCTTTTCAATAAGCCTTTTTTGGAAATACCTTTTACAATGATCAAATGAAAAACACTAATTGAAAGTAAAGGATATATGTATAACTCACGAGAAATTAAACGTTGGATAAGTATGCCACTGTGTTTGTACCAGAGCTCTGATACTATGGGTGGGCATTCGGTAGGTTTGGTTCAAACCAAACCGAAAAGATGATTACCGGTACCCCCATTTCAGTCAAAGGGCACACCAATTCCGAATCGAAATATAACTCGATTTGGAATGGAAAACCCGAATTTTGATCTTCTCCACGGTCGAAATTGGGCTGCTCATTAGTTTGATATTGTCCGCTTTGGGCTAAGCCCGCATGGTTTTACTCTTGGGTATCCTCCCCAAAAGGCCTCGTACTAATGAGCTTGGTGGACACTAATATACAAGGGTTCCTTCCCTTTTATTTCCGATGTGGTACTTGGATTGTCCCATAACAATCCACCCCTCTAGACAAGGACCACGAACTTCGTGTCCTCACCTCAACGATTATCTTGATCCGCCAAACGCCTTGTATCGATGTGCCTCTTGGTACAAGGACTTTACCAGACGCACAACTCTCTCTGATCTGCTTCCCAAATGTGGAACTCTCGTTGATCCGCCAAGCCCAAATGTGGAGCTCGTTCTCGGACCCACCAAACATACGCGAATCATCTTTGACCCGCCAGGCAAACATAGATCTCAAATCTCGATGTCACCGAATGAGGGTCCACCAAAATGACATCCACCATCCCGAACCAAACCAGACTCTGATACCACTTGTCGAAATCGGGTTGCTCATTAGTTCAATATTGTCCACTTTGGACCAAGCCGGCACGGTTTACTCTTGGAGTCTTGGGTATCCTCCCCAAAAGGCCTCGTACTAATGAGCTTGGTGGACACAAATATACAAGGGTTCCTTCCCTTGTATTTCCGATGTGGTACTTGGATTGTCCCATAACATCCACGCTTCACCCATAAAATCCAATCTATTCTACTGAAATAAACCTAATCGACACTCCTGACCTCTCCCGCTTCCTATTTTTCCTTTTCCCTCTCCCGCCGGCCGTTGCAACATCAAAGGTCTAGCTCCAACAGTCGTCAACTGCTCCCCTGGAGAGTGCTTCTTCTTCCATTCACCGTCGAGTTCCTTCCGCCACCGAGGTCACTCTCCCTCTCTCGCCGCCCGCCGCAACATCAAAGGTCTGGCTCCATCGGTCGTCGACGACTCCCCTGGAGAGTGCTTCTTCTTCCATTCGCGGTCGAGTTCCTTCCGCCCTCGTTCTTCTCGTTTTCCTTTGGTGGGTTGAAGCCGACGCGCAGCGGCGGCAGGTGGAATGACGAGATCTCTCGGTGTGTGGAGACTGGTAAGTTCTTTTCCACATGCATGTGGGTTCCTCCAGCCTCGTTTGATTTTCTGTAGTGATTTTGATGTTTGGATTTGGGTTTTTGTTCTCAACCTCAGGGAGTAGAAGAGAGCGAAAAGAGGGGAAATGAAATTGGCTCCAGTCGATGGTCGGTGAGCAGGAGATTATATCTTCTTTTGGAACGGTCGTCGAGGATTGGTGGTTGTGGGAGGGGCGGCCAGGCGTTGGCTGTGCCTGTATGTGTGGGAGATAGAAGTTGGGATAAGGATTAAGGGATAGAGGTGAGAGCTTAGTAGGTGATTGGGCTTAGGGTTGTGTCTTGGTGGGGGTCTGGGCTTCGAAATAGGAGAGTTGGGCTGCTGGGGGAATGGGCTAGGGAGTTTATTGGTCCAGGTAGAATATTTCGGTTCATCGGTTCGGGGTTCAGAAACTTGGTTCGGCCGAGAGAACCCTCATTTCCGAATTAGGCCAATTTTTTTTTTCGAATTTCGAACCAAATATCATTAGTTTGGTTTGGTTCGGTTTGAGTTTGGTTCGGTCTAGTTCGGTTCGGGTTTACTGAACCGGATGCCAACCTCTATCTGATACCACCTTATATAAGCCGAGGCTCTAACTCATGGACTTAAACAATCATAAATGTAACAAATATCGATTAGAAGCACAATGATCATAAAGCGGATAATAACCCAAACCTAATTCACACGTTGGGAAGAGAGCCAAGTATACGAAGCTTTTGGCATTAAGGGAGGCGACGCATTGGTGTACCAGCTTGGGATGAGATGATATTATGCTTCAGGGGGATGCCAAGGTGGTGATTGACACGATCAATGAAGGTTGTGTTGCTGATGTTCGTGGTGGGGCAATTTTGAAGGAGGTTCGTGCTTGTTGGGTGTCTTTACATAATCTTTGGTTCCAGTTTATGAGGAGGGAAAACAATAGAGTAGCCGATGCAGTAACTAAAAATGCCCTTTATTTGTTTCCTAATCAATGTAATGGGTTCGATTTTTGTGTCTGGCTCTCGATGGAGGCGGGCATGATCTTTTGTTTCTAGTTTAATACAAGCTATTATTTGGTTAAAGAAAAAAAAAAAAAAAAACACCTGACCAAACATTATGCGGGATGCACATGTTGCTTGGGCTTCATTCCGTATCAAAAACGCATTACAGGCTTACGCAGTCTGGCCCATTAAACTGAAGCATCGACCGCTGCAACCCGTGAACCTCGTCTTCTGTTCACTTTCTCCCTCTCCTCGTCTAGGCTTTCTAGCTTTCGGAATTCAGGCGGTAAAGCCGGGCTCTTCTCTTTCCTCTTCGGTGCTTCTGTTCTTCGGCAAGTTCACTCTCAGAGTCAGCAGAATTTTGAAACTACTCTTGAATTAAGGATTTCCCACATCCTAGGGTTTTCGCCATTCGACGGGAATCGCGGATGTTTTCCCCCCTCCTCCAGTCCCGTTGATTAAGCTGCAGCAGCAGTAGAGGGAAGTAGGATGGAAGAGGAGGGAGAGGAAGCGATGAGGCGGGACGGTGGCGGGGTTGAGGTTTTGACGTTCGATTATTCTGTGGAGAATCACTTCAATGCAATCGACACAATTTCCGAGCTCTGTGGCGAGCCCGGCGCCGGTGTGCCTCTCGACGAAGCGGAAATTCAGCGTTTGTCGCCGTCGATCACATTCCTAAAGTAAGAGCAAAATGATTGTCTCTGATGGAACGATTTGTTCACTTTCTTCTTCACAGCTACTTTTTAGCTGGTTCGCTATCTTTGTTGTATTGGCGGTACCTTTTGGGAACCACATTGTAATTGAAGTTCTGAACTCTATTCAGAGAATGGCGGAATTACACTTATCCTCCGAGGGATTTTAGGTTTTCCTCTGAAGCAGAAAGTGCGCCTGGCGAGGAAGGCGTTGCATTTGACTTAAATTTGCCTCAGTTTTCCTCCGCCGCTGTTGCCGAGGTATCTAGTCGACTTGCACTCATCAAAAGTTTAAACCTTGAATTCTGTGGCTTAGGAATAGTGATATACTTAGCCTGTGTATTCCCTTCTCTGAATTCTGGTGTAGAAAGAAAAATTGCATGGGAGTACCACATCAACGAGATCCAGGTGCTGTCCAGATTTTGGTATTTGACCAGTTAGAGTCGCTTTTTCCCCAGTTTTTTTAAAGATGTATTCATTATTCAAGTTTCTATAATAACTAGAAAGTCATGGTATCCTTCAATACCTTGCTGCTCTCACTTGATTGAGATCCTTGTTAAGGTTTCCTTATATTTATTTTGCAGTCTGTCTTTGCTTTCAGCGTCCTTTTAACATGCAGTTCCAAACTTATTGTTCCCCTCTTAGTGCAGCAATGACTTCGTGATGTATGTCGGGGGACCTGTTTGGTCATTGGATTGGTGTCCTCGAAGTCATGAAGGACCTGACACTAAGGTTAAATCTGAGGTATTTCCTCCCTGCTACAAGCTTCTCGATATGTCAATAGAGTGCCACATTTGGGCTTGATGTGTGTCTCCTGGGGTTTTTCGGTTTCTGATTTGTACTGATTGATGTCTATATTCTTTGTTTGAGTCTCCCAGGACTCATATTCCATGTTATGTAATGGCTCCAACATGGTATTTGTTTTTTGTTTCTACTTTGGCAGTTTGTTGCTATTGCTGCCCATCCTCCTGGCTCCAGCTATCACAAGATAGGAGCTCCTCTTGTTGGCAGAGGCATCATTCAGATCTGGTCCGTTCTCAATGTCCATCAGAATAAAGAGGAGGAGCCTTCGGGTATCAAACAGCCAAATTGGACAACCCAGTTGGTGAAATCAATTGAACCAAAGAGGCCACGAGGAAGACCTAGGAAGAAGCCAGTGGATGATTGCACTGAAGCTAAGAAGCCAAAAGGAAGACCCAGAAAGAAGTCAACTAATGAACCAGTGAACATGATAACTGATGGTTTGAATTGTGATGACCAAAATGCTTTAGCTCTCGTTGTTGAAGATCCTAACAGTTCATGTCAACAAGGAAGACCTCGGAAGAAGCGGGTGGATGAATCCGCTCAAGTCAAGAAGCCAAAAGGAAGATCCAGAGAGAAGCTAATTGATGAACCAATGAACAGGCTAACTGACGATTTAAATTTGGACGACCAGGATGTTCAACCTCTTTCTGTTGCATATCCTAGCATTTCACGTCAACGAGGAAGATCTAGGAAAAAGCACGAGGATGATTGTACTGATGTCAAGAAGCCAAAAATAAGACCCAGGTCCAGAAAGAAGTCGATTGATGAACCAGTAAACAAGCAAACTGGTGAATTAAAATTAGATGACCAAGATGTTGAACTTCTTGTTATTGAATATCCGAGCAGTTCAAGTCAATTGCTTGTTAAAGGAAAAGATTCAGCAGATACACAAGGGCAGAGGCCACAGAAGCAAGAGGTTAGGAGAAGAAAAACACTTAACAGGGCAGAACCTGCATGCACTCCAAAAGATGGTTCAAAGAGTAGATTGTTGAAGCTGAAGAAAATTGCATGGAGCAAGTCTGATGATTCTGTATGCCCATCATTATTTAGTCAAAACGGCGAGTCTTCCACTCCAAATCACCAAATGAATGAGGCCGAACACACTTGCACGTCAAATGATGGTTTGCAGTCTGGAGGATTGAAACGTAAGAGAAGTACAGCGAGTAAGTCTGATGATTCTGTAGGCCTATTAGCAATTAGTCAAAACTGCAAGCCTTCTGCCCAGAATCACCAAATAAATGAGAAGTCCAGGCAGGATGTTGTGGCTTTTGATTTTGTGCCAGATCATGTCACCTCAGACATCAGTCACCCTACACGTTCTATTCCGAAAGACGTAGCTTTACCACGAGTTATGCTGTGCCTAGCTCACAATGGAAAAGTTGCTTGGGATGTGAAATGGAAACCTTGTACTGCATCCAGTGCTAATTGCCTGCATCGTATGGGCTTTCTGGCTGTGTTGCTAGGAAATGGGTCTCTAGAAGTGTAAGATCTCTAATTCCTCTGGAACTTGCATGCTTGTCCTGATGTCCATTGCGGTAGCTGATAAACATTTCGATCACTCTGCTTCTAGATTGACTTGACAATAACATTAATTTTAGAAGGCTACATAAGGTTTACATTAATAATGGGGAAGGTTGAATAGGAATTGTGTACTTCTTAGCGGAGACTGTAGAGGTCCTCAGTGGTGGTGTAGTATGGATATGGTAGAGATTCTGTTGCAACATATCAGATCAAATAATTAGGCACCAGTAATATTGTGCAGAAATGAGCATTTGGCTTTGGCAGTTTCTTTTGAGCAGTCATTTAAGTTATCTTCATGTGACCCATAGTATATGGTTCTAGAGAAGGCCAATTCCTGAGTGAAACATTAGCAGTATAGGTGTTCATTGCCCCATTATTGCTTTCCTTTTGATGATGTCTTATTTGACGGTATTTGTCACTCATATACACAGATGGGATGTCCCTCTTCCTCATATTATCAAAACGATTTATTCTGTTTCCCATGGGGAAGGCTGTGATCCCCGTTTTGTTAAGTTGGAGCCCATATTCAGATGTTCGGTTCCGCAAAGTGGACATGCAAAGAGGTATGTGATGGTTTCTTTATAAAATCAGATATTTCATGGTCCTATTCCTAGCACTCTGAGACTAATGAGTATGTTTTTAATGCATATATATATGTTTTATGGTCTAATCTCGTAACAGGTAATGTGAGATAGTAGTGCTTCAATGATTTTCTATGCTGTTGTGCTTCATTTGATTGTTTTGCTAAATTCATGGTTACTTCTCCATGCAGCATCCCTCTGACAGTAGAATGGTCATATTCGCGACCCCATGATTACATACTTGCTGGGTGCCATGATGGAACGGTAATGGATAAATAGTAAACAGTACTTATTTCTTTTCATGTTGTCCTTCAATTAGTTCGTGTGTCTTTTTTTCTCTTACAACAGTTTCAGGATGAATTCTCGCTGCAGCTGATAGCTGAATTGTTGTGAGAGGGTGTGTGTATGTTAATTTGTGTTCTCTGTATCTAAGTATAATGTTTTTCACTGTGGGTTCTCTTTGCCAGTTAGAGTTTTAGGGTCCTGAAAACAATGAATTTTCTGATTGAAGACCTATTAGTTAAATGTTCATCGGTTTTCCAACTTGTGTCAATTTGATTGCAGCGTTCTGCATATTCTTTTCATGTATTTGTTGACACACAATCCACCTGGTAGCATGCCAAGGCATGGTATTTCAAGGGGAAATGGATCTTTCCAGAGTGAAAATTCTTGGAGTTTTATTTCTCTATATCAAAGCAGTTGTCTTGATTGGCCTGAAAGGGAAAAAATACGACACAAATATTAATCAAATAGAGGTTATCTGTTTCGCTGATTTCCAAGACTCTGCTATAGGTTGATTTGCTGCTTTGGCATGACGGTGCTTCTAGGACCCAACAGTAGGAGATCTTTTGAGTACAGAATGTATACCTACCCACTTTGACTTCAATACCTATAATTTAAGTTCAGGTGGATACAAAAATAATAGAGCTACATACATAAGTCCTGCTGCCCCCATCCCCAATCTAAAACTGATTCCTTCTGCATGATGAGTAGGTGTCTAATTTTTTCAGGTTGCTTTGTGGAAATTCTCGACGAGTGGATCATCTGGAGGTATTTCTACATCTTCGTCGTTGCTACTGTTTCTTGCCACCATCTGCATTCTGCAGAAAGACATAAAATTCAAGTTCTTGATTTGATCCAAATGTACCTTAATTTACATTCAGATGCCATCTTTACCCCTTCCAATTACTGCAGATACAAGGCCTCTGCTCTGTTTCAGTGCTGAAACCGGCCCTATTCGAGCCATCTCATGGGCACCAGCTGAAAGGTTAGTGATTTTCAGGTGTTATCTTTGTCATTCTGGTGAGGGAATCTGCGATTATGAGTAAATGTAGACCACCTTTTATGGTTGCAGATGGATCATTTAGTTTTAAGTTTGTCACTTTGGTAGTAACATCTCCTGCCCCCAAGCTTTTGCATGTGATGTAAGTAATTGTGTTTGAAAAAACTATTTTTCAAATGCATACAGTACCTCCAATGCAGTCTTCAGGGATACTTGGCTCAGAGAGTTTGGCCTCCCTACTTAAGAGTTCACCATCACCTCAGACAACTTACAGTTAGCAAATTAATTAAAAACAAAACTGCACCAGATCTGATATTGGTCACCGTCAGTTCTAGGACTTGTAAAACCATATGTTTTGTTTGCTTGGACTTTTTCTGATCCTCCCTCTTTTCGATATCTCCTGCCTTGTTGGGATGTAATCCGACGTTCCTTGCTTGGTCAGTGGTGAAGCTAGTGAACATGTAATACTGACAGCTGGACATAAAGGCTTAAAGTTTTGGGATTTGCGGTAAGTGAACACTTAATTTTGTTATTTTTGTGATTATATTGTTATTATGATTGGTTTTGCTTTAACCATACCTGACATTTTGAATCCTCACATGTGTGCTGATATATTTGATTATGTGATAAAGAAGCACACCAACAAAGTAATTGGAGCCTTTATTTTTGCAGTGATCCATTCCGACCTCTCTGGGAGTTCCGACCAGCACCAAGTTTCATATACAGTGTGGACTGGGTCGCACATCCAAGGTCTTGTGATATTCCTTGTTGGACAAACTTCGGAACAGACTGTTGACGATATTTTATCCTAAGGTTTTGATCATGTTCCTTTTCCTGTTCCAGTTGTGTATTGTTATCCTTTGCGGATGGAAGAATCAGACTTCTTAGTTTGGTGAAGGCTGCTTATGATGCCCCTGTCCATGGAAAGCCGTCTGTGGGACCACTACAACAAGGAATGCACATTTTTGAGTGTTCAGCCTTTGCCATCTGGAGCGTTCAGGTGTCTAGACTAACAGGTTTAAATCCCTTCCATTCTCTCTATAATCACTCTTTTAAGTTTTTCATTTTTTCCCCCAAAGTCTTGTCTCCTCTAAAAGAAGAATTCAAATTTTGCTGTTTTAAGAGTGTGGCAATTCGAAGAACTATTTCATGTCAAATGGGCGTGTGCTTGTTTATTGAACACTCTTCACAAACTGATCCCCGATCTGTTGTGGTGAATTTGTAGGGATGGTAGCATATTGCTCCGAGGATGGTATCGTTAGCCGCTTCCAGGTTAAGACCTTCCTGGTGCAGAAGTTCTGAGCAATATGACATCCATCTGATTACGCTGCAACCTTTTCTGCAGTCAGATACAGTTAAAATGATAATGGTCTGAAGCAGTATAATTTAGCATGATGCTTACGCAATTTACTTCCTTGTTTGCAGCTTACGAGTAAAGCAGTGGAGAAAGATCCATCAAGAAACCGAGTCCCTCATTTCGTATGTGGGACGCTGAGTGAGGATGCATCTGGTCTATTGGTCAACACCCCATTACTGAATACCCTAACTTCCAAGAAACCACCGAGGGTTACGGGCAACCCTCGGTACCTGCATGGGTTATTAACTTCCTTGACCAAGGCCGAGAAGGAGAAAGACCCACCATCGTCTAACAGTGATAATAACAATAAAGAGCTAGGTAAGTAAGTCAATTGCCACACGACATGGTCTGATTTCGCTACTAAATCCTGTTCATTTGACATCGAACTTGGTTGCAGCTTTATTCTCGAGCGATAATGTTCCAAACGAGAAGTCTGGACCTGAAGAACCTTTGAGTGAATTGAGAAAGGGGAAGAAGAAAAGCTCCAACACAGGAAAGACACAGAATGGGAAATGCCTAGAGGAGCAAGACACACCGGCGGAGGAAGAGACCGTAGAGGCAGAAGAAGAGAACAATACTGGACGTTTGCCGTCTAAACTTGTTGCCATGCACAGGGTCAGATGGAATATGAACAGAGGTAGCGAGAGATGGTTGTGTTCGGGAGGAGCAGCAGGCATCGTCAGGTGCCAAGAGATTGTGTTGTCTGATATTGACATGCTTGTGGCTAAGAAACGATAGGCCAATGTCCAAAGCCTTTTCTTCTTGTGTAACTATTATTATGTGATTTTAATTTATGTTGATTCGTGATATTTTCCCCAGTTTGATGTCAAGTAATGTGCATTCCCTGTTGTAGTTGATGCTTGCTCACATCATTCTCACTGAATCCACCGAACATCGCAATGGCGACCTAAGTGCGGCGATCGGCTTCCACAAGGGGGCATAATTATCGGTTGTGAGAGTGGATGTTTTTGCTTCCGTTGTAATTAACTAATTATTATTGACAATTCGTGTCATAATGAAATGAATGTTTACCCACTCTAAAACCGCACAGCTGACCACGAGTGTTGAGGGTGATGTCAGAATGACTACTGAATGATGAACCCTTCATGACACGTGCTAACCTCCAAGAGACACTTTCAACCCATTTATCCAGTTCGTCATACCATGCTCCAATAGGACAATTTTGTAGTCTTTTGTTTTTTTGTCATATATACACAAGAAAATTACAAATTGCTCAAAAGTAAAAGTCGATAGTCAACCAAGCACTTCATCTGTCGTTTTTGGCACAAAACGAACAGCTCTGTTAGTACTATAAAGAAATAGTCAACCAGATCGAACAATCGAAAAAGAAGTCTTCAACAGCCTGACTTATTCAAGCACCGCTCCACCCCGATCTTGCTGCACGTCATTCTTCAAAACTCAATGAATGACCAATTGGGAATGGGGTATGCTATTTGTCGCCAACCAATTTGCTATTTGCCGCCAACAAAACAAAAAAAATTCAAAATCAGTTATACATACGTCTTCGATAAAGAATTTTTACTTCCTTACAACTTATCCAACTCTCAGAAATCGTATTGAATAAAAAAAAACGGCGCTCGCCGGAAAATCATCGGAAAAAGCCGAACGTCGACGTAAAGTGCGCTCATGCATCCATGAATCATCAATAAGAAGGTTCGTCGATTTTTTGGAGTTTCGAATAATTTTCCTGGCGATTTCCAAGGGACAGATGGCGGGCGAAAGATTCCGGCGACCAGAATTTGACCGAGCCAAAAGATTCCGGCGGCCGAAACCAGGCCAGGGAGACGGAGAACGGTGGCCGAAGCCAGGCTCGGCCGAAGAAACCTTTCGGCTCGGCCTGGTTCCGGCCACAGTTCTCCGTCAGCCCGACCTGGTGCCGGCTGTCGGTTGACTATATTTGGAAATTAGCGTTTAGGAGTTGAATTTAGCGTTTAAGAGTTGAATTTAGAGTTTAGAGGTTGAATTTAGCTTTTAGGAGTTGAAATTAGTGTTTAGGTTCACAGAAATATTGATGCGTTAAAATGTAATTGTAGGGAAAATGTCGGATTGGTTGCCGCCCGATTATGATTACACACATGAATTTGAGAAAGGGATCCATTATGCAATTGCGGAGTTAGTTAAAAAAACCGCAATGGCAATCGCTCAATCGTGTGGGTTCTTTATTATCAGAGGAGCATGGAAATTGAATACGGAAAGCACAGCATCCTGTTACTGCCCTCTTTATGTTTTGCGACAGATACAGTAAGATCGAGAAGTCTTATAAACCAGATCCTACGAAGGAGAGACGTGAGAATACTAGTTCGAAAGGTACTAGTTGCCAGTTTCATATATGTATTAGAGAAGTATGGCAAGAGCATGTCCAAACACATGGATCATAGTAGGCGTGACAAGGCGTGCAACCGGAGCTAATAGAGGGTTTCGCAACCATGAAAAAGTGTTGTATCCAGAACATCGCCGGCACAACAAATAGCTTAGTGAGGCTGAAAAAGAGAAGTTAAGATTGATGAGGAAGGCAGGGGTGAGACCAAATCAGCAGAAGACGACACTCAATACTGAAGGGGGTGTGCTCCATGATAGCAAAAAAAATCTACAACAGAAAATCCAAAAGAAGATTGGATGAGATGGGTGAAATGGATGCGATGCAGTGTATGTTTCACGGAGCTGAACAACGAGGGTACTATATATGTTTGGAAAATTATGCTAATAATGTGCTCACCAATATGTTTTTTGCCCACCCGACTTCCATTCAGATGTTGCATGCATGGTCGTACGTCATCCTCATCGACTCGACCTACAAGATGAACAGGTACGACATGCCACAGGTTGAGGTTATTGGGGTTACTCCAGTCAAACAGGATTTCAACATTGCATGTGCCCTTATGAAGAAGGAAACAAAGGAAGCATATTAGTGGTTGCTGCGATGTGTAAAAGGGTTGCTCGGTGAGACTGTTCCGAATGTTATTGTGACAGACAAAGAAGATGGTCTGCTTGCTTCCGTTCTTGTGGTCTTCCCCCTCCCACGTACGGTCCACCTTCTATGTTTATGGCACATCAACAACTGTGAGAAGAAAAAGTCTGAGATTCTACTTGGTGGAATTTCACAAAAAGAGATAGCACACGCGAGCATGACAGAAACATTTTGAGAAAGCTGCATTGAGTTGGACGAGGGGCAGTTTTTTTCAAAAGATTAATGAGTTTGAAAGGGTCTCGTCAGTGAAGAACATAGCACTGGTCGACTACGTGCGGGGTGAGTGGTTGTGTCATCAGACAATGTAGGCAAAGTGCTACGCGAACCATGTGTTCCATCTTGGTAACACGAGCTCGAATAGAGTTGAGTCATCTCACTTTTCATTCAAGACTTTCTTTGTATCTGCTAGAGGAGCAATAGACACTTGTTTTGCGAAGAACCACAACTACATTGAACATCAGTTTGTGAAAGTGGTGAATCAACTGCACAAGTCACTCAACCAGAATTTAAGTAGGGCAATTGCGCCTCCATGCATGTTTTTGAGGAGGATCGTTAGTTGTGAGGCAATCAAACTGATGTTAGATGGGGCAGCGGAGTTGGGGGACAGTTATGGGTGTCATTTTTAGACGACACATGGGATCAAGTGTGCTTGTCAGGTTGTTGGAGCTAAGGCAAAAGGAAGCTAGTTCTATGCCCAGGAGTTGCATGTATTCTGGCAGACTTTGGATTATAAAATGCCCCCGTTGCAACAACAAGTCAGTGAGATTGACCTTCAACGACAACACTTTAAGTAGCTCACCGTTGAGGTGGAAGACAGAGGTCCTGAAGTAGTGAGACAAGCAAGAGATGTCCTAATCTACAGGCTTCACCCAGTAGAGGACAATGTGACGGAACCAGAAGTGAATGAGACTACGAGAGGGTTGCCTCGAACAAGCACCAGTCGTATTCGTTCATATTTTGAGTGATTGTGGTCTCGTTTGAGGAATACGGGTCCTGATTCGAGGCCAGGCATGTCCGATCGAGTGGAGGCTAATCTGACGAGCATGATACATGTGAGTTTCAACTGTAAATGTTTTAATATTTTAGACAACTATTAGTGAATTTTGTCCAATTATTAGTAAGTGGTTTGTATATGTAAATTTTATCCAAGTATTAATGACCGTTTTAATATTGTAGATTACTCATCCCATAGCTCCAATGCAATATTCTTACCCTCTCATCAAGCAACTTTATCCAGAGTTAGTTCGGCCTTTGTTGGTAGGCGATTTCAACCCTAGTCCAGACGGCAATTATGGTTTTAGGGAAATTTCTCATTGTATAATGGGGGGTGATAGTCACTATCTACTCATGAGATCGGAGATTATCCAAGAAATCCAACGGTATTACTGAAAGTATGAGAACTTGTATAATGGTGGTATAGCACATCACATTCAACACATCAACTGGTTCGAATCGGGTTATGCACCAATGGGGCATTGGATGGATTCTAAGGACCTGTACGTGTTTGCAACCAGATACAACATCACATTCATTGTCTTCTCTTGCCAGTCTTTCGATACCCGTAATCCAGACACTCCACTACCCAACATCTACAGTGATGCCTACACTGTGTTGCCTATTGATGCGGAGTATTGTTCGGCACCACCAACCATGTTCTTAACATTGCACTACGTGAACAACCACTACATTCGACTATACTTCAACATGGATCAGTTTCCTATACCTCCTCTCCATCCATAATGCCAGGGGCTAGCACATCCCAATGTGGTGGAGTGGGGAAACAGTCTCCGAGTTGGACAAGATTTGTGGGTGAGTCTTGGTGGTCGCCAACGAGCCAGGGAGAGAGACACTCATAGGGGTTGAGGTAGGGGTAGAGGCAATGCATAGTATTGTCATGCCCGTATTTGTATGTTGTTATTCTAGTTGTAATTTACCACTGCACTTCTTTGTGTCTTGGTGATGACACTATCTTCAATTTAGTTGTTATATTTTAATGTTGTAGTCTTGGTGATGACACTATTCTTTACCAGCTGAAAAATTTGACCTGCACATGCAAAATACATGTGGAAAATTTGAAGAATGAAGATCCAAACACCAGTCAAACATCCGATCCAAACATAAGTAAAAAACATCCGATGCAAACATAAATAGTCAAACATCTGATCCAAAGAAAAATACTACACATCCTCGAGGTACATGTGCATAATACTAAACATAAATAGGCAGACATCCATAAAGATCATCATATAACATAATCTAAAGTCCAACATGACCAATAAAGGAAAAACCACTAAATGATCTATGCTAAACATCAGGGAGGGGGGAGTCCCTGACACACCCAATACTCAATCCACACATCCTGCACTCCGTGCAGTACCCTGTATACACCTCACTGATGCTCCAGCCACTCCTCCTCGGTCCCCGTAGCGACAAGAACCGCAGGTGCAAAAGTGTACAAAAGGTCACGAGCACGCTGCAACAACAAAAAGAAACACAATTGTTAGTTTCACACATAGTTTAGTTATATTGTTCCAAACTGAAACGTTCAAAACGCAAATCTTACCGTTGCGGATTTAACAAAATCTGGATCGTCATCATCAAGGAGGCATCTAGCGTGTGAGTGGGCGATGAACCAGTCAAGATGGTCAGGCGTTGTCTCGTATGGATACGTCATCCAGGGCTGAGAGTACATGTCTATGTGAACCATTTGGGACAACAGGGCATCCCATGCTGCATAGAAACTTTCAGG